TGCTGTGTCCCCCCGCAGACCACCTGGAGCGGATCGTGGAGATCGCCAGGCTGCGCGCAGTCCAGCGGAAGGCCCGCTTTGCCAAGCTCAAGGTCTGTGTCTTCAAGGAAGAGATGCCTATCACCCCCTACGAGTGTCCCCTCCTCAACTCCCTGCGCTTTGAGCGGAGTGAGAGTGACGGGCAGCTCTTCGAGCACCACTGTGAGGTGGATGTGTCGTTCGGGCCCTGGGAGGCTGTGGCAGATGTTTATGACCTGTTACACTGCCTGGTCACGGACCTCTCGGCCCAGGGCCTCACTGTGGACCACCAGTGCATCGGGGTGTGTGACAAGCACCTCGTCAACCACTATTACTGCAAGCGCCCTATCTATGAGTTCAAGATCACATGGTGGTGAGTAGCCCTCTGGGCAGAGTGCCTGTCAGGGAAAGTGCCCTGCCCGGGGATAAGATGCCCAGAGGGGCTGTGAGTCCACGCTCCCTGGCTGAACCTCAGGTTGGTCTTGAGGCTGGTGGCCCTTGGGGACTCAGAGTCTGCTCTCATCTGGCCTCTCTTCAAGGCATGACAGCCTTCACTTAAGGCCGATGGGGTCCAGTGTGGGAGTCACTGGAAGTCCAGAGAGGTTCTTTCACCTTCTGGACCTCCTGGGAGTTTCATCCACCTAGCAGCAAGTTGCGGAGGTAGTGTAGACCTCTCCCCTCTGGGCGTTGCCCTGCGCTCAGTGCGTCACTGTGAATGTGGATCTGTGGGGGATGCGCCTGAGCAGCCACCCTGCAGCCCCAGCTGAAGAAGAAAGGTGGGTCCTGTCCCTGTACACCCCTTGTCCCCAAGAATGGTCTCCGAATTATCTTCTCCAGAGCAAGTCCTTCCCTACCTTTGAGAGATCTAACCGTAGTTCCAGCGTTGCGTACCAGGTTGGCCTTAGAAAATCATAGCACTTACAGCTGTCGTGGGGCTTAGACCAGGTCACCTTCACAGGGCTGAAACCTCCCAAAGAGTCCCAACAAGAGGGCAGGATGCCTCGTCCCTCTGTTACTTTGAAGTAACATCATTTCTAGAGGCTGAGGACACTTTCTTGGATGCGGTGTCTGAGTTAGGACCTGGTTTACAGTGAACCCTTCGAAGGGAGTCACATCTTTGCACTCTGTTGCTCTGTCCTGCCTGTGTCCTCCTCCTCGGAGAGTTTCTCTTCTGAGGAATTAAAAGAAGAGCCAGGATTCCTAGGAAGACAGCAGCAAGCTTCCATTGTGTTTTACTTCCCATGTTTCAGAGAAACATCCCAAATCATCTCTTCCCACTGCATTTCCTTCTTGCTTTGTGTGCAGCCTGGACAACTGGTCAGGATGTGGACAAGTACTGCACCGCATCTCTGGTCAGAACATAACATTTCCACGCTGCAGTAAGGGTTTCCTCTGTTATCGCAGCCTGCCCGACTATTCTGGTGGTTCTGAAAGGAGGTGTTTATATTTGTAAAGAGTTGGGGTACCACATGCAGCAGCATATTCAGTAGTCTCAGCTGAGGGAACTTGAGTTGGGAGGATCGCATGTGCCCACAAGTTCAAGACCAGTTCTGGCTACATGGGGAGACTCCATCTCAAAAAACAAAAAATGAGAATAGCATTACTGGTCTCAGTGTGACAGGAGCAAGTAGGTGAGAGGCCAGGGGAGCAGATTACAGGTGTGTCCTCCAGAGAGTGAGAGAGAGAGAGAGAGAGAGAGAGAGGGGCCAGTACCTGGACCACTGGGATTCTTCCCTGGGGTGGAGGGCAGTGGGGTCTGGCTTTTGTGGAATGGTTGCTGTTCTTCTCTGGTAGAACAGTGAAGGGGACTGAGGTCCAAGAGGAAAGGACTGTTGTTCACCCTCTAGATGTGTGCCCTCCCTTGTTCTCAACGTCCCTGCTTGTGGCTTTCCTCAGTGACAGGACTCCTGCCCTGTTCTCACAGAAGAAAGTTTCATATAGTTTGCTTTGGCATTGCCCACTGCCTCATATGTGTTCATTTTCCTTTCTTTTGGTGGGGGAGGTTGGAGACAGGGTCTTGCTACATAGTCCAGGATGGCCTTAAACTTGCTGTGTAGCCCAGGCTGGCCTTGATCTTGCCATGATCCTCCTGCCTTAGCCTCCCGAGTGCTAGGATTACAGGTCACCATGCCCTGCACTTTTCTTTGGGGGGGCAGGGGGGTTGTGTGTTCATTTTTTGATTGACAGGCCAACTCTTCAGGAGAAAGTTCACATGAGTCTGTGACAGATAACTGAGCCTGGGCTCTTTTTCAGGCCTCGGCCTGTCCCTTCCCTTCCCACTGTGGGTCTGTGGGGCATCACAGTGCTGTCTGTTTATAGAGTCCGTGTGTGCATCACAGGGACAGACGTGTCTCACATAAATGCAGCTTTGCTCAAAACCAGACTCCAAAGGCTTGACCCTGAAGGGTGCCAGGTGAGGACATTGCCCCTGTGCTTCTTATTGGAGCTCTCTGTCTCTCTTCCCCTGCGTCATCCTCACTGTGTGTCCTGTGGCAAGAAGCAGGTGGAGAGGGCACATGGACAAGTCTGCTTAAGATCTCCTGTCAAAAGTGCGCGTGTGTTTTTTACAGAGAAAGAACAAAACTCCCCCTTTTAACCTATGCTTTCTTTACTTTTTTGTAGCAGCAGGAACTTTTCTTTAAACAAAAAATATATTTATTACAGGTCTTCCCAACAGAAATATGAAGTAACAGATCATGCTGTTCTAGGGATTCTCCAGCCCCAGCCCCATATTCACTCCCTACCCCTCTCTGCTCTCTTTGAGCTCTTCCTGTGTAGAATAACAGAGTTCAGTGGCCTCATCTGGCCCCTCTTGTATGGGAAGCCAAGGCCAGGCTGAAATGTGCTGTTTGGTGAGGTGGTTCGTGATGGCTTCCAAATAAAGTGGTTATCTTTTCAGGAGTCATTTTGATCCCTCTCCAACCCTAAGTGGCCAGGCCAGGCATTAGAAGGACTGGAACTGGAAGCAGGTCTCCTACATAGGCAGGTTTCTCCCTTGCTGAAAGGAAGTGTGTTCGTGGAATTCTTGTGCATTATCTTAATAAATGGCTCCCCTTCTGAGGAGACTAGAATTGTCTTGCTTTGGGACAGGCCCGTTGTCAGTGAGTTAGACCATGTACCCACCCTGGAGTGGCCCTTATGTTTGGCTTTGGGCACATTTTCTGCCTGGTATGATGCTTACTGGCTGGGAAGGTGAAAGACTGAAAGCCACACTGAAATGTGTCATATCCAGGGAGTGTGGAGGTGGGGGGGTGGCTTTCTAAATAGAAGGAAAACATTGGGCCAGGGATCTAGCTCAGTGGTGTCGCCGCCTGCCTTGCAATCACAAGGTCCTGAGCTCTATCCCCGGTACCAAAAAAACAAAAAAGAAAAACATCTTTACCACCATTAATTGAGCATGGCTGCCAAGGCCTTCCAGCCATGAAACGTAGCCACTGTGCCCTGGAACTTTCTGCTCGTCCTTCCTGGGGCTTGGGATGCTCTGGGACTGCCCAAGCTTGTGCCTTGGGCTCTTGCTGTTCTGCAGTCCACTGGCAGACTAAGAAGTAGACATTTGCAATACACAGAGAGAGCTGCACATCGGTGGGAGATCCTAGGCTAAGTTGCGACCCGAAGGGTTCGGACAAACAGCAACAACACCCGTGCTGGAGCATTTGCATCCCAGGAAGAATTTCAGACACAGCGCGACTTCGTGCTTCCTGTCCAAACTCTAATATAAATGATTATGCTTTTTGGGGTACTGTTTTGGAGGCCCTTGGATGAAGGTAGTGCCTATCTCCTGGTGCTGCAAAGCGGGGCTTGCCTCGGAGTGTTGGGAACTGGGGTGGGAAAAGCCTGTTTGGGAACCCTGGAAGATGTGTACGTAGGCAGCATGGAGAGGTGTGGGCACACGGTGGGGTGGGTGAAGACTGAGCAGAGAACTGGGCCCTAGTGTGGCAAGTTCCCGGGTCCATTGTCTTCTCTAGAGGGTGCGAGTTTTTGTACACAGCGTAACACTTCCCACGTGTGGTCACACACCTGTTGCTAGCGCTTTTATGCATGGAGCCTCAGTCCCCTCAAATGACATTAAAGTCAAGAACTAGAACTTGGGTGCTGTGTGTTTC